GGCGCGGGGGGCGGCCCGTCGCCCGGGAGGTGGGGAGGGGGCGGGGAGGGGGAGGGGGAGAGGGAGGGGGAGGAGGGGCGGGGAGGAGGAGGGGAGGAGGAGGGGAGGGGGCGGGGGAGGAGGAGGAGGAGGAGGAGGAGGAGGAGGAGGAGGAGGAGGAGGGAGGAGGAGGGAGGGGGTAGAGGAGGAGGAGGAGGGGCGGACAAGCTGGGTGAGCTCGCGTCATATCTGACGTCCTGCCCCTCCCCCCCATCCCTCACCATGGCGTAGATATCCTCTCTATTCGCACAGTCGGATGTCGAGCAGGGTAGTGATCCCGAGAGGGTGCGCGATGCATCTTAGAGCACGGCATGGCAGGGCGTAGAAGAGCACGGCAGAGCGTAGTATATCATAGCTTGACGTGGCGTTGCGTAGTGAAGACTTGCATCACAAAGCATTGCAACGCAAATAATGGCATCGCACAGCGGCACAGAACAGAACATGGCATACCATGGCATTGAAGATCAAAGCGTAACATGGCACAGCATGGCGTCGCACTGCGTAGTCAAGCATTGCATATCCTAGCATTGCAGGTGAAGACATGACATCGCACAGCAGAACACCACAGCATTGGATCGCATGCCGTGGCATGGTACTGGAAATAAATAACGACACCAGCGCTGCAGCGGGGGGAAGATTAGGAACGAACGGAAGCGCGGAAATGAGGCCAGCGCTGCAGCGGGAACACGAGTTGGAACGAGCGGAAGCGCGGAAATGAGGCCAGCGTTGCAGCGGGAACACGATTCGGAACGAGCGGAAGCGCGGAAGTGAGGCCAGCGTTTCAGCGGGAGCAGTATTTTGAAAAAAAACAAAGCGAAATCCCAATTCCTGGGAACCCTGTGTGTAAAAAACAATACGCGGAGGGGAGCCGAACATCTTCTGGACGTCATCAGGGGAGAGAGGAGAGTAGTATTCATATTGTATAATTGTGGAGGGGGCGGGAAGGAGGAGGGAGGGAGGGAGGGAGGGGAGGAGGAGGGAAGGAGGGGAGGGAGGAGTGGAGGAGGGGAGGAGGGAGGGGAGGAGGAGGAGGGGAGGAGGAGGAGGAGGAGGAGGGAGGAGGAGGGAGGAGGAGGGGAGGAGGGAGGAGGGAGGAGGAGGAGGAGGAGGAGGAGGAGGAGGAGGAGGAGGAGGAGGAGGAGGTGGTCGATGAGGAGAGAGGGGGGAGGTGGGAGGAGGGAGGAGGAGGACCAGTGTGAATCAAAGACGCACCAGCGATGTTGCAACAAACCATCTCTCCAGGCTTTCTCCCCAGAGGTCCGTACAAGAATTTATGTTCATTGTGGGAAGTGGTCCATTAGAAGACAATCGCATGAGAATCTTCAATCGTGCCAAAACACGGCCTCTGGGATTTCAGCGCCGCGGATCAACGTAATTGTTGCGTCTTGACAATCGTAAACGATGCCAGAGCACCGTTCTTGGGACTTCAACATTGCGAATTAACGTGACTGCGCCCTGACAATCCTGAGTCGCGCCAGAAAGCCATTTCTGGGACTTCAACCATACGAGTGCTTGAAACCGTCGCGAACTATAAGACTAATGTGCACGGCGCCAATGCGAGAGCCGTATGTTCAAATCACTACGGTTTCTTCGGCGCTCATTCCAGTACTGACTGGGCACCTCCTCCCCCGCCGCCGCCATTTTGATCTGATTTTGGCCGGCGAGCCCGCCGCAATTTTGCTGTCGCCTAGTTGCGGTTGCGGTTGCGCCCGCGGGCGGGTTGAAATGTGTCGCTTGGCTGGGAATTGAAAAGTATTGCCATTCCGCGTCACGCGGCACGCCTTTTGTAATAGAAGTGCACATCTGTCTTTGGAGAGTCAGGAACTCAATAAGTTCTCTTTTGAGGGGATCATATGATTTATATTATCGCTTTATGCGGACATATCTTAATGTGTTTGTTGTTTTGCCGTTCCATCCGTTCTTTTCCGAAATGCATTGCGTGTTCATTCTATCATTATGACTATTGGAGCTCCGTGCTTGTTGTTATATTCGTTGTAGTTTTACTCAATTGGTTGCGAAATGCAGCCCGCCAGAATACTTCCAAAGTGGTTACAAGACGACTCGCCGCCAACTTTTTACGGGGCGTTCCAACTGATGTGTATTCGTCGTTTTGCCTCGCCGCCGTTATATTCGATACGTCAGTTACTGTTTCAGGTTTTTGTTCTCCGCCGCCTGCTTATTTCCTGATATAGAGTATGCTTGAATGCTTCCGGTGTGATATGTTCAAAATTTACCCCGCCCTCCACCCATGAATTTGCTGCAACCTTTCAGACGAATGTAAGCGGCGCTAAGGCAATAACGACCTGTCCTCCATCTTACAGCTGCTGCAACATTAATACGAATGGGTACAGCGCTGGGGCGTGAGCCACAGTTTGAAAAGGACATGCTATCCATCCTGAAAGCTGTTGCAACATTCAACACGAATACTGCGCTGCGCTAAGAGCGGGAGCCACATCTTGAAGACGAGCCGCCGCCCTCCATTTGTGAAGCGCTTGTAAATTTCAAGCTTCAGAATCATGAATGGTGAGGACGTCTCGGGCGAAACGCCAGGCCCGCCCTACCAACACGTCTGGGGCCCCGACAGGTAGGAGTTATTCATAAGGAGGAGTGGAGGGGGAGGAGGAGGAGGAGGAGGAGGAGGAGGAGGAGGAGTAGGAGGAGGAGTGAAAAGAGGTGGAGGAGGGAGGGAGGGAGGAGGATGGAGGAGGAGGCTGGGAGGGCGGGCAGCGGGCAGGCATGGTCAGGAGAAACGTCGGCGGGTGAACGGCTTATGGGGAAGACGCACCGAGGTTTTCGGGCATCCTCGCCGGTTCTCGGTGGTCTTCCGACCTCGGGCTGCGCCTCAGAAGCTGCGCCCCCCGAGGGCGCTGCGGGGGCACCCAGGCCGTCCCGAGCCGCCGCCGGAGAGCAGCGCTCTGCCGGGAGAGCCAGGAGGCAGCGTCGGCCGCCGGACAGCCGGCGCGGGGGGGGGGGACGCGTCGACCCCAATTCGCCACAATCCGCCCATGGTCAGTATCGTTTATCCGACCCCAATCCCCATCCCCATCCCCTTCGAGACCCCACCAAATTGCCCCCCCAGTTGGGGATACACCCCCTCGAAACCCGAAGGGGACGGCCTACATGCCCGTCTGGGGGGTAGATCGGCCAGTGGGGCCCAGGCCACGCCGGTGGGGATGGGGATCGGATAAGCGATACTCAGAGACGGGCCAGACAGCGCGGCTTTCCGCTCGCGGGGGGCGCCTCGGCGATTCATCGGCGGTGTGTTGCCGATTTTAGGTGTTAAGTCGGGCATGATCTTTTTAGGAGGAACACTAGAAAGATAGTCAGAAAACAGTCTGGGGGACGAGTTTTCGATTATTTGTTCTATTATTTGGAATTGTTTGGCCATTTTTTATCCGAAATCCGCCTGTAGGGGGACATGCCCGACCTAATCCAGGTCGATGCTCTCCTCCTCACCGCCCACCAAACCACCCCAACCCAACCCGAAGGCCCCGACTTGCCCTCCATTTCCACTGTGTGCGGGGGTCGGGGAACATTGAAAAAACACATCTGAAGCCCGTACCCCCCCCCCAACCCGAAATCCCAACACGAAATTCGGGCGAGATTCGGGTCTTCGGGCTGGGTTGCGGTGGTCTGGCAGGTGCGAGGAAGCTGGAAAGAGTGTCTGGGGCCAGCCCGTTTACTCTCTTCAGCTCTTGCCTACTTCCAACGCTTGCCCCGCCCTTATTGCGAAATACTTTTCCCAATCGAACAGCTTTTTCGACCTTGTACTATTTCCAACTCAGTGCCTCGCCGTGCGTCCTACTCAGTCGCCTGTTGTCGCACAAAGTACCCGGGCACTTTCGTCCAGCTTCCCTGCAGTTACCTCCCCCGTGAGCCTTAAGGGGGATGCGGTGCGGGCGGCTCGTGCCGTGTGGGCGCGCCGGCATAGCGCGGGCGTTGGCGCCCCGTCGGGGGGCAGTGCTTGGCATCGAGGCGGAATGCTTGGGCCTCCCAGATTCAGGGGCAACGATAGGAGGGCTTCCTCCCTCCTCCTCCTCCCTCCCTCCTCCTCCTCCTCCTCCTCCTCCTCCTCCTCGGGATAGGCAATGGGGGGGATGCATCGACCCCCAATTGCCCATTGATGGCTGATAGGGGCCCGGTAGCCCCAATCGCCCATTGATCGCCCATTGATCGCAGATTCAGGGGCAACGATAGGGGGGATAGGCATGTAGGGGGGGATGCATCGACCCCCAATCGCCCATTGATCGCCGATAGGGGCCCGATAGCCCCAACCTGCCCAGGAACTTGCGGGTTCACTGTGGGGGGCCTATCGCCGATCTATCGGCGATGTATCGCCGATTCCAGGTCGATGCTTCCCCCCCTGTGCCAGTCCCCCCCCCACCGTTGCCCCTCACGGACGGGAGCCGAGGGCCACCACGAGGGTGCGAAGCTCGTCGCGCATCGCGGTCTGGGCGATTTCTGAGCGAGGCGCGAGTCCCTCGTCCTGTTCGGGGAAGGGGCGGGGGGGGGCGGCGCGGAAGCGCGAAGACAGTAATCGCGCTTCCAGCGCGAAGCGCGAAGATGGTTGCCCTAATAGCAGGGTGGGTTCGAAGGATCGCTGCGCATCGCCGATGCATCCATGATGCCACGATGCGGCTCGATGAGGAGCCCGATTTTCCCCACGCCGACGTCGCCGATGTATCGCCGACGTCGCCGATGCATCGCCGACGTCGCCGATGCATCGGCGATGAGGACCACATCTGGGGACCCTCTAGAAACTGTGGTCGTCATCGCCGCCGCGCACAGTACAATGGACACTCTTCGGGGTAGGGTCGCGAGCGTGAGACTTTCAGCAACAGGTGTACACCATCCGTAGCCATTTTAGCGGCTCAGGCCATTTTGGCGCAAGTCCAGTCCGCTGAGGTGCCGCAGGTTCTTTGTGCCTTTCTGCGCTGCTCCAGAAGCGGCAAGGCTCCGCAATGGAGTTCGTGCCGACTCCGTTTCGCAAGAGGGATGGCGCTGGCTTGCCGCTGGTGACCCCGGTCAAGCGCGCCAACACTGCTGCCGCAAGGCCAGTCAATGTCTCCCCCCAGGACTTCGACAAGGGCAGTGTCGCGCGCTCCCTCCAAGGGTACTCTCTGGTGGCCATCGGCGCGCTCTCAACGGCGCAGATCGCCGAGGTACTGAAGACGGCAGCGCGCATGCGCGAGCTGGTCGAGAAGCAGGGTGGCGACGAGTCTCTCAAGGGCAGGGTGCTCGCGAGCGTCTTCTACGAGCCGTCCACGCGCACCAGCTGCTCGTTCCAGGCGGCCATGCTGCGGCTCGGAGGCGCCGTCCTCGCGGTGAACGAGTCCAGCTCCTCGGTCGCCAAGGGCGAGTCGCTCGAGGATACGGTGCGTTCTGTGGAGTGCTACGCCGACGTCGTGGTGCTCCGGCACCCCCGGGCCGGCGCGGCCGCCGAGGCCGCCGCAGCGATGGCGAAGCCGCTGCTCAACGCCGGCGACGGCGTCGGCGAGCATCCGTCCCAGGCGTTGCTGGACCTCGGAGGAGAAGGAGGTACCGATGGCTTCCCTGACCTCGTTTTCGTCTCTTGGGCCTCCTGGGAGGCTCTCGTCCGCTGGAGTCGCCTCGAGATGCTGGTCTGAACGCACCCCAGGAGAGGTCTGGAGCGTAGCTGTAGTGGTACCTTTGGTCAAGGGAGGAAGAGCCACCTGGACCGGACAATTGGCGTTTACTAAACGGGCCTGGGCGTTTACTAAACAGCCTTGCCCTGTTCGATTCTTTCTTTGGGTGAGTTTACTAAACGGCTTCGCGTGTCGGGGTGGTTATTATCGGGGTGGATTTTCTGCCCTCGATGTTGTTTCCCCCCAGGACCTATACACGATCCTGGACGAGGTGCCAGGCGTCAGCGCCAGCGAGGCGGCAAAGTCCGAGGCGGCCCTGGCTGCGGCGCTGCGGGGCAGGGTCGTCACGATGGTGGGCGACCTCAAGAATGGGCGGACAGTGCACTCGCTGGCTAAGCTCGAAGAAGAAAAAACCACAGCATCATAAACTTTTGCGCTCCGCGCAGATTTCTTGGATTTGCGCCTGGGCCCCCCAGCGGCGCCTCCGGCGCCGCCTTTGGCGCGCTCCGCGCGCCAGGGAGGGGGGTCCAGCGCGAATCCAAGAAATCCGCGCGGAGCGCCGACAAATTATGTTTACGTGTTTTTTCTTCTTCTATAAGCTGCTCAGCCGGTTCGAGGTCACGCTTCATTTTGTCTCGCCTGCAGCGCTGCGGATGCCAGGCAGCGTCACGGCCACAGTGCGCGGAAGGGAGCACGACGCGCTCACCACCAGCATCCTAAGGGACACCGACATCCTGTACGTGACCCGAGTTCAGAAAGAGCGATTCGACAGCGTGGATGATTACGACAAGGTGAAGGACGCGTTTGTCATCACGCCAGAGACGCTCTCACACATGAAGACCACAGCCAGGGTCATGCACCCCCTCCCGCGTGTCGGGGAGATCGACGCCGCGTGCGACGCCGATCCGCGAGCTGCATATTTCCGGCAGATGAAGAATGGCATGTACGTGCGAATGGCCCTTTTGCGTCTCACAGTGGGTTGAAGTATTGGCATCATTGTGGGGGAGGAGGGAGTGGAGGATGATGGTGGTGGAGGAGGAGAAGGAGATTGGGCGTCTTTCGGGGTGCCTGTCTTCCTGATGCCCGGAGCCCCCCACGGTTACAGGGAAGCGTCAGGGGCTTGCGTCTGGGACGACGAACGGCCTGCGTGGCGCTTGCTTCCAGAGTGTGACATGGTGGGGGTCGTTTTTTTTCCAGCAGGGCTTATTTATCAGTGTTGTGTTGGAGTTATTGGCCTTGTAGGCCATCAGGGATATACTCACAACGCTGCTATTACAAGCCAGAGCTGTGTGCATGGATGCATGGGTTCGCCCATTGCAGGTTGGCCTCCTTGGCGCACCCCCGCGCTTTGCATTGGTGCACTTGTGGTCGCCTGCCCTCGTCCTCGAGCTGTCTTCTGCAAGAGGGGGTATCATTCGCGGGTGATCCCATCGCGTCGCCTCGGCCATCGAGTTTGACACTCACATGTCAGATTCGTCCGTCGCAGCCTGCTGTACATATCCTCCTGCTCAGCAGCCCGTGATGATCCGGAGCGTTCTGCTGCCGCAGCGCCTGCAACTTGTGTTAAATCGGGCCTGTCCCTCTACATCAGGAATATTCAAAAATAGTTTTAAAAAATAGCCTGGGGACGACTTGTTTGACTCTTTCTGATTATTTTGGAGCACTGTGGGTGTATCTTTTTATTTTTCGTCCAGAATCCCCCTGTAGGGGGACAGGCCCGACCCAACACTTGTGGGGTACGCGACTCCTGTGCTGGGGGAAGCACAGTGAGAGCACGCGGGGAAGCCGCCGTCCAAGTCAGCAGCGCCAACCTGGCACGTGCTGCTGCGCTCTGCAACCTCCGGTGTCGCGTGACATGGGGAAACAAAAAAACAGTTAAGTCGGGCCTGTCCCTCTGCAGGGGGACTCTTCAAACACAGTAAAAAATGGTTTGGGGACGATTTTTCTGAGTATCACTTTTTAACATTTGTCCTCCAAAATCCGCCTGTAGGGGGGCATGCCCGACCTAAAAAACAAGCGTGTGCACTAAGTTTCGGTCGAAGGTCCGCATGCCTTACGGTCGGACCGAGGTTTCAGGCCGAGGTCGGTTCGGGGAAGGTACCCTAGTGTTCTTCGTGCCCGTTGGACATTGCTGTGCGTTTGGGGGAGGGCACCCTCGAGTGTTCTTCAGTTTTGGCCGGCGGAGGGTCTCATGTTCTTGAAAGATGTTCTTCTGTCCTGGGTCCGACTGCATGCCTCAGTATGAAGTTGTGCGGCCCCCATCCAAGGCCACGGAGTTCCGGCAGCCCCTGGGGACCCTTCGAGCCGCGCGGCGGCAGAAACCTGGAGAGCCCGCGCCGTCACGGCAGAAACCTTCCGCTCTGCGTCGTCGCCGATGTTGTCACCGCAGTCGCATCGGCGCTTTCGTCACGGTCGTCGGCACGCAGGCGCATTGGCCGAAGATGAAAATGCGGCGCAGACATAAATGTCTTGCGCTCCGTGCGGATTTCTCGGATCGGCGCAAGGACTCCCTGGGCGGCGCCTCTGGCGCCGCAACTGGCGGGCTCTGCGCGCCAGAGCAGGGGGCCTGGCGCCGATCCAAGAAATCCGCGCGGACCTCCACAGTTCATGCTCTGGCGTCGCAGTCGCCGCTTCTGTGACAAGACTGAGTGGCAGCTTGCCCAGGGATGCGGCTGATCTGCTGGTTGTGGCGCGAGGGCGGGGTGTGTGGGAGAACAGGCATGGGAAAAAGAGCAGGACGTTTCATTGTGTCGAATAAAAATTGAGGCCTCACTGGCGACCGACTGGAAGGCTCATAGTGGATCAGAGGATCGGACTGTTCCAATGGTCTTAGCATCCTTTTCCTGAATATCGTCGAATTCTCGATCTTCCGAAACGATTTTCACGTCTTGCATCTTGTTGATTATGTCAGAGGCTCACGAAATTCCGCCGAGCCCAAGAAGAGGCGGGAGTCCACGGTTGAGGCGTCGTGGGCTTTTTGGGCATTATTTGGGGACTCTTGTGGGCGTCTTGGGAGCTGCTTGGGGGCCTGGTGGAGCCTCTTGGAGGCAGTTATGAAGCGTACTGGGGGCTGTTCTGGTGCCTCTGTTGGGTCGCTTGAGGGCCTCTTGGGGCTTATTGTGGGCCTCTTTTGGGCCGCTTGGAGGCTTCTTGGGGCCTTTCGTGGGCCTTGGGGCAGAAAAAAGGGTGTTCGGTTTGTGTTCTCCCTCGTGGCCTCTTGAGGCCTTCTTGGGGCGATCTTGGCAGTCTTGGGCCCCTATGTGGGCCGTCTTGGAACCCTCTTGGGCCATCCTGGGGCCCTCGTAGGGGCCTCTTGGGCAGTTTTAGGGTGGTCCGCGGGGCCTCTTGTGCCGCCTTGGAGCGTCGGAAGCTTGAGAAGACGATATTCCCAGAAACCATGAAAAGCCTATGTAATACCATTGATGTTTGCCACTCGGGGACCTCTTGGGAAGGCTCCTTGGGCCTCTTCTTGGGGCGTCTCGGCTGCGTCTTGGAGCGTCTTGGAGCAATGGTATGTGTCTTGGCCACGGAAGGCAGGTTTGGAAGCTCTGGAGCCTCCAGGGGTGCGAGGGAGAGCCTGGACCCCCCCCCCTCCCCTTTCAAACTAGATGTTGAGCCTTGGGAGAGGGGGAAATGGGGAGGGGGACATCCAATCATCTCACACGCCTTTTCACCCCCGGCAAGCGGGTGTCGGCAGAACCAGGCTTGCCCAATAGATTGAATGTTACGTTTTGATGAAGCAGCCCAGATGTTCCAAACCTAAAACGAAGGCGCTCATTGTGGATGTTGAGAAAGCCTCAGCCTCGTGAGTTGAGGTAAGCCGTACCCCTCCTGGAAAGGTCCTTCGCTGTTGAGGTGGAAACCTCCATTTGGGAGGTTTGGGACCATTGGGAGGTTTGGGACCGTCCAGAGTGTCGCCTCCAGACTCCATCCCTAGTCGTACCGCCCTCCCTTCTCCTTCGTCCAAACTCCTCCCGCTCCTCCCTCTTCTCTCCTCCGTCTCCTCCTCCTCGTCCTCCTCATCCTCCTCCTCTTCCTCCTCCTCCATTCGAGTTCCTTGTGAATAAATCCTTCCTGCCGTACCCTGAGGCCAGTCGGAAGGGCGGCCAGGCGTTTCGCCTGAGATTGCTTTACCAGGTATCAGCCTGAAGCTGAAACATTGGCCACAGTTTCACAGATGCAGGGCGGGCCGCTTTCGAAATGTTGTTCTCGCCGTAGCGCCGGGTACAATCATTTTAAACATTTGCAGGAGTATCACATTTTGAGGGCGGGCCGTTTTCAAAATGTGTTTCTCGCCTCTGCGCCGCGCAGATTTCTTTGAAGTCATAGCTGCCGTCCAGTGGCCCCAATCAGCGTTGTTTTGAGCCAAGGTGGCTCCTGAGAGTGTTCGTGCGTTCTCCTGCTTCTGATCCGCCTGCGCCTTCGGCGTCGTCATCGTCTAGCTTTTCGTGACCGTCGTCGTCGTCCTCCCCTCCCGCATCCACGTGATTATCCTCATTGCTCTCGCTCTCCCCTTTCGACTATACCTCCTGCTCCTCATCCCCCTTCTCTGTTTTTCCCGCTTCTCCTCCTCGTCCCTCTCCTCCTCTTCCTCCTCCTCCTGCTCCTCCTCTTCTTCCTCCTCTCGCTCCTTTTCCTCCTCATCTTCCTCCTCTTCCTCCTCCTCGTCCTCCTCCTGTATCTCCTCATCTCAGTCTTCCCCGCCCCCTCACACGAAATCCCCCTCATGCTTCTGCTGATGTTCCTCCTCGTTTTCTTCGTCCTCCTCATCCTCTACCTCGTCATTGACAGCCACCTTGTATTTCTCCCCCTGCTTCTCTTCCTGCTCGCCGTGCTCCGCCTTGTATTCCTCGTTATCCTCCTCGTGTTCCTCGTCGTCCTCCGCTTAGCAGTGCTCCTCCTCCTCCTCCTGCTCCTCCTTCCTCCTCCTCCTCCTCCTCCTCCTCCTCTCCTCCTCCTCCTCCTCCTCCTCCTCCTCCTCCTCCTCTCCCCGCCTCCTCCTCGGATCGCTCCTCCTCCTCGTCCTCGCATTCCTCCCTCCTCCTTCTCTTTCTCCTGCTTCTCCTCCGCCTCCTCCTCCTCCTCCTCCTCCTCGTCTCCCCCTCCTCCTCCTCCTCCTCCTCCTCCTCCTTCTCCTCCTCTCATGCCGATCAGAAATCATGCTGAGAGGCAGAATAGGCAGACTCGACGTTTGGTGATCGTGGCATGACTGCAGCAGCACGATGGCTGTATGCAGTAGTTTTTCTTCCACCGTCGTTGTCGCCGCCGCCACCGGCCGCCCTGGCGCCCGCAGGTCCCCCTGGACGGGTCCGCGCCGCGCTGGGAGGAGCGTCCAGGCGGCCTGTTCGGCGCGCGGTTCCGCCGCTGCACCCCCCCAGGCTGGACCTGGCACGCTCCGCGCGCCAGGGAGGAGGGGGGGTCCAGCTCCGATCCAGGGAGCCCGCGCGGACCTCCGACGGTTTGTGTTTATCCGGATGCCTATCTCTGCTTATTCGTCTTATTGTTAGGTTAAGTGTCTTCTTCTTATTATTACTCTTGTGTCTTAAGTTGTTTCGTATTCGTATTAGTAGTGATATTCTTATTGTTTTAATAGTAAAACTTTTCTGTGCAATATTACTCTGATTATATTTCTTACTATTCCCATTCGTACTGTTGTTGTTGTCGTCGTCGTTGCTGTTGTTGTTGTTATGTTGAACATTATTAATTCTAAAGAATAATTATTGTTGGGACCCCTGGTGCACGGCCCCCCTGCGCCGCCTAGGCCGCAGCTACATTTTCATCATTTTCGTGAGGAAGCCTCAGGTAATTCGATGTGATCAAGATCCGGTTGTTTTGTTCCCCCCCGCTTTCCCTTGCAAAAAACACTATAAAATGACATTTCTTGTTCTAATATAATCAAATTTCAAGAATCCCTTGCAAAAAATAAGGTAAAGTGGACATTCGCGCGCGCAAGACGAAATCCTTCCAAAAGCTTAGTGTTCGG